ATCTTGCTACATTTTGCTTTATGAACTTTTTCTTAATGCGCGTACATTCTCAACCAAATTTTGCTTTGAGAGTTTAACCGGATAAAATTACTATAAAATAATTTAAATGTTTGTTAGAAATCTCGTGATTCAAATGCTTTATCTGATAAACGATTATTGTGTGTAACATTGTTATCTTTTCATAAAAATTTTGGGTAAAAAAAAAAAAATAAATAAATATTTATAAATATTTTAGATCGAGAGATAACTGAAATACCTTCCCTACCCGTTAGACTTTTTTCATTAAAAAAAAAAAATAATTCTTTTGATATCTATATAATTTTTGATTTTTTTTTTTACTTTTGAGTTATAATTAATTTTTTTGCTGGTAAATTTTACGCGTTCTCTACGTGTCTTTTAATCTAATTTCAACCTTTATGCTCTTTTTTTTTTTTTTAATTTTGTAAGGTCAAAGTATTATGTTTACCGCAAAACCAAGGTACTTTATTTGCATTATATAAATTCTTTTTTTTCTAAGAAAAAATTTTAATATTTTCTCATTTTATTTTAAAGTAAGGCAATATTTCGAATGAAGAAATCAATAAAATTTACCACATACTTACTTCAAAAGACATTATACTCCTCAATTCGACCAAGAAATTTACTTAAAAATCAAATATCATGTCATGCTCCTTATACATCACAAATTGGTTCATTAGCACGTTCATTTTTTACTTCAGCATTACCACCTGTTAACAAAATTTTTTTGAATCAACCATCATTCATTCTTTCCCCTCAAATATATAATAAAGAGAGATATTTTAATAATTCTTTTTCAAAAAATTTTTTGTCAACAACAAAAGCATTTAAACCACATTCCTCAAAATCACAAAAATTTTTTGATTCCACAACGTCAATTAATAAACCAACTTCGACTACGGGAACGTCTTCAACTTCAACAGCTATTTCAACAAGTCATCAAAATCACTCTTCTATAATAGATTTTTATGAAAAACCACTTTCTATTACTAAAAGAAACTCATTTATATTAAATCATGGTGGATCTGGTATTCCAAAACATTCAGAAAAATTAATTACAACCAAGAATGATGGAGAATATTATAGTGTAGGATGTGGAGAGGATAGCTTTTTTGTGAGATATGATTCCTTGGGTGTAGCTGATGGAGTTGGTGGTTGGCGTAACGTTGCTCCTTTACGTA